GATCCAGAATGTGGGAGGGGGCTCCCGCCTGAAACGGGGGGTTGGGCTATAGGAGGGGGTACAGGCTTTGGGCTGGAGATGCTCTGGGGTGGGGTCAGTAAAGAGGGGTTTTGGGCCCAGGCAGGAGCTGGAGCAATGGATTGGGTGCAGGAGGGGATGAGGGGTGCACGCTCCAGCAACACTTACTTCAGGTGGTTCCCAGGAAGCAGCAGGAGTTCCCTGTCCCCAGCTGCAGGGGCCGCCACTGCAGCTCCTATTGGTTGCAGTTCCTGGCCAATGGGAGCTGTGGATCTGGTGTGTGGAATGGGGACAGGGCTCAGGACCCCCGGAGCCAGCCCTGAGCCAGAGGGACTTGCTGGCCTCCTCGCGGGGGCTGCATTGGCAGCCCACTCACCCCACAGCCCCCAGTCAGACAGACATCTAGCCAGCCCCATACTAAGCCAACTCTAGATGTGTTAACTAGGACAAGGAGCTGAGAGTTCAGTGCCGCAGTGACAGCTTGTGAACACTGCCCCCACCCCCGAGAGAGTTGGCTGTAGTGTCACATGACTAGCTTTCTATGGCCTTTAGGGCTGATGACACAGCTGGGAACCCCCAGTGCGACTGACGGGGGGGGGGGAAGGAGCAAAGGGAGCAGCTGCCCAGGGGCCCGGCAATTTAAAAGAGCTGCAGGTGCGGCAACGGCTGGAGTCCTTGCCCCTTTAAATCACCATCAGAGCCTCAGATGGTGTAGGCCGGGCAATGCTGAAGGTCTGGGTGGGGAAGGCTAACCCTCAGCCTCGCCCCTTCTGGGGCCCAGAGATCCCCCTCGCGCCCCCCACCTTGCCCAGGGGCTTGGCAATTCTATTGGTATCCCTGAGAACTCCTTCCTCGTGCTAGGTAGCTTCACCCCCCAGAGTTAAGTGGCATAGGGGTAACAATTGCACCTGGTTGTTTTGGCTCCCTCTTGCAGATCACAGATGCGGCTAAAACCTTTTGTACCCGCGCGGGGCTCTGCTTATTAGCGCTAATTCCTAACCCCGTTCGTCTCGCGCTAGTCGCTGGTTTCACGAGAGCATCACTCAGGCAAGCCAGAGCTGTTTCCAGCTCTGCATTGGTCAGCGGCCTGTGAACTTCGGCCCAAGTTCTGCCCGCGGCGCTGTGAGTATTTATTAGTATGTCCCCCCGATAATAGGCGTCTCCATGAGCTCGCCATTGTTACTCAGCTATCTTTTTACTGCTGCCCCGGGACTTTGACCACGTCTTCTCCTGACACAGGAAATAGCCTTAAAGGTGGCAACAAAGTTAACTGTTTGAGCCGCGTTCATCTGCATTACGAGGGCGCCAGCCTCCCGAAGAGCAACTGGGTGTGCCCCTGCCAGCAATGAATGTAGCCACGTGATCACAGGGTTGGAAAGGCAAAAATCTGGAAGAGAAGAGAAGAGAAGAGAAGAGGTGGAGGGCAAATATACAGGGAACGGGGTAAATAGTTTCCAGTTCCCTGACTGAACTGGCCACGTAATCAAGGCAGACAGGCACCTGGGGCCAATTAAGAACTTGCCTGAAGCAGCCAGCTAATCAGGGCACCTGCAGCCCATTAAGGCCTGCTGGGGCTAGGTTAAAAGGCTTCCCCTCAGGAACGGCAGGGGGAGGAGAAAAGCCAGGGGCACAGAGGAAGAGGGGTGGTGCCGGAGAGCTGAGGTCTGCGAGGAGGGACGTGCGCTGTGCAGGAGCAGAAGGGACTCGCTCAGGTACCAGGGAGAAGGTCCTGTGGGGAGCATCAGGGGAAGTGAACAAGGGTGCAGGACTGAAACGCTGCCTGCTGCCACAGCCTTGGGGTCACTGGGCTGGAGCCTGGACTACTGGGTGGGCCTGGGTTCCCCACAACCCTTCCCACACCACTAGAGAGTCTGCCCCAGAGGCGGAGACCAGGACTTCAGAGGGGCTTCACCCCTATGCTTGGACTTGCCTATGAAGAGGATAGCTCGGAAGGCTGCGACCCTCGGCCTCTAGCAAAGGACCAGAGGCTTTGTGGAGGGTCACAGTGCACCTCTGAGGCAAAGGATATCTCCCGAGAAGTGCCGGACCCGTGGGGCACGGTCAGAGCTTTGCCACAGGGTGTATTGCCTCAGAGGAACAGCAGCCTAGTGGTTAGGGTGATGGCTTCAGAGGGGCAAACTGGCCTGGGGTTGTAACAGAGATTCGCCAACAGTTACTCCATTTTTCAGGTCTCCACCTAGCACCCGGTGCCGGCGGGGGAGGGTTGTGAGGATGACTGTACCATAGATGTGAGACGCTCTGAGGTTCTGGCAATGGGAGGTGCCCGTTAAGCACCCACCGGACGTGAATGGTCACATGTCCGTGCCGTGACTGGCGGCGATGTGCTGCTTTCTGAGGCCACGTACACAATAAGAGGGAAAGGATGTGGTGTGTGTAAGGGTGGCAGAACTCAGACAAAGGAAGAACCTAAGATGCCTGGCTGGGAGGTTGTTTCCTGCGGGGTTTCGTTCCGCTGCAGGTGCGTGTGTGGATGCATTTTAGTATTTTATCTGCATCAAGGGGCCTCCACGAAGGGAAACCAAACCAATTTTTAAAGTTATGATGTTGGGGGAGGGGGGGTTAATTAAAATAAAAATAATTAACTGAACTATAAATAATATTTGATATAAGCGCCAATCCTGTAAATAGCTACAAAGAAATAACACCTGCCAAAGAGAGGTGACTTGAAAGAGGGAGAAATGCCTAATAAATCCATGAGCCACCCCACTGTACATGGTCTCTAACTAACAGGACGCTGCTGCTCTCTGGTTTGCTACAGGGGGTACCTTGACATGTAGTCTGTCCACGTGCTGCCTTTCGGCACGTCAGTTACCGAATGAGAGGCGCCCTGCGTTCTGTCACTCACAGAGTCTTTGCGTTTGTTCTTTGTGTCCTCATGGAAAACAAATCCACCAGGACTGCCAATCAGTCACTAAGCTGTACTTCATACCCATGTGATCCCTTTGTCCCACCAGCATTGGGCCTGTCCATGTGAGCTAAAGGAGAATCTCCATGAGCTATAAGCAATATAAGGCCTTTGACACACACTTGAGTGGTTCTCACTACCTGCAGAAGAGGGCAGTAGTGTGTGTGTAGATAGAAATGGGCACGTATGCATCTATGTAGTCACTAGCCAGTTTGTTACAATACACAAATAATGGAACAGCTGTGGGTGACTGATTAAAACAAACAGCGTGAGCCAGGAAGAGACCTGGGGTCGTTGGACTGGTGAAAAGTCTTTAGCTGTGCCAGCAAGACCTCCAAAACCTGATC